AAAAAAAACAACAAAAACAATGTTTTCTCTTTAAGTCAAGCTTAAATGTCATGACTTTTAGAAAGTAAATACCTAGGATAATATCATAATTCTGAGTATACAGTAATAAATATTTAGCATGATTTTGGCGGGGGTGGACTTTTAGTTTTGGTTTTTCAAGACAGAGTTTCTCTGTGTAGTCCTGTCTTGGAACTTATTCCATAGACCAGGTTGACCTTGAACTCAGAGATCTACCTGCCTCTGCCTCCCTAGTACTGGGGTAAAGGGCATATGCCACTATGCCACGACCACCCAGCTACAGGAAAAGATGATATAACCTTAGTTAACAGACATGGATCTGTAAATCCCAGCAGGACTGTCCTGACTAGCCAGAAAGAGAAAGAAACTTAGTCAATGTTAATACTTTTTTTAAAGATTATTTTTAAAATTTTGTATGGGGGGGTGTACATATATGGGAGGGTGTATGTGTTGGGGTGGATGTAGGGTGTGGGTGCACGTGTGTGTACACATTCCCACAGAAGCTGTAACTCCCTAGAGCTAGAGTTACAGGTGATTGTGAGCTGCCTGAAGTGGGTGCTGGAAACCAAACTTGTCCTGTGCAAGACCAGTACATGCTATTAACATCTCCTGCCCAAATGCAGGAATGGCCATTGAAATGCACGGAGGTCAGGTGTTAAAGCGACTATATACTAACCTATATTTGTATAATACTTTGATATACTAACCTATATTTGTATAATACTTTGGTTTTCCAAACTTCTGTAATGAGTTATAAAGCTTCAGGTCATGTACAACAATCCTCTGATACTAACAACTCCCTACAACACTGATGTACTTAGTTGCACACCTGAGGCTGTTATGAAAAGCAGACACTTCAGCCTTTGCAGAAGCAATTAAACTGGAGAAGTAGTGGCCATATGGTATTAACCTGATTGTATTGGTAACATAAAGTGCAGAACCTCCTGATTAATTTTCTATATCCTTCAACTTTAAGAAAGGAATCCCTGGAGTTGAAAAGGCAACTCAGCAAGTAACAGCACTGGCTGCTCTTCCAGAGGGCTCAGGTTTGATTCTCAGCACTCACAACTACCTTTAACCCCAGTTCCAAAGGGACCCAACACCCTTTCCTAGTCTTCACAAGCATTGGGCACACAAGTCCTGTGCAGACATACATGCAAGCAAAATACCCATACATACAAAAAGCAAAATAAATGAAATCCAGTAATTACATATTTTGCTATGAAATCTAAATAGATACTTATGATTTTTGTAATGGTTGTGCTGGATTTAATTCAGAATTCAGAGACTGCTGTACACTCTGTGGTCTTGCTGGCTTCTCAAAGGCAGCTATCCCTGAATTAACTAGAGCAACAGTATGTAAGGCAATGGATGTAGCACTGTGGGATTGCTGCCAACCCCATGCCCTGTCACATGGATTGCCTTTTCTTTCTTTTTAAGAATTGTTATTGTGGTGTGTGTAAGAAAAGAGAAATGAAGAGGGCACATGTGTGTGACAGGACCTGCATAGGGAGGTCAGAGGTCAGCTTTTCAGGAGTTGATTGTCTTCTTCCATCCCACCATAGGATCCAGGAATTAAATTCAGGTCATCAAGTTTATACAACAAGCACTGTTACTCTGTGTCATCTCTCCAGGCTCCTTCCTTCCTTCCTTCCTTCCTTCCCTCCTTCCCTCCCTCCCTCCCTCTCTCCCTCCCTCCCTCCGTCCTCCTTTCCCTCCCTCCTTCCTTCCTTCCTTCCTTCCTTCCTTTCCTTCCTTTCCTTCCTTCCTAACTTTAGTGATAAGGTCTCACTATGAAGAAAGCCCAGGCTGCCTTCAAATTCCTGAGCTTACTTAGTTACCTGAGTGCTGAGATTAACAGACACAAGCTATATACCTCTTTACTCTCTCTTCTACTCCCTCCCTCCCTCTGTCTTTCCGTGTGTGTGTGTGTGTGTGTGTGTGTGTGTGTGTGTGTGTGTGTGTGTCTTTGGAGACAGGGTGACAGTCTGTGTAGCTGTAGTTGATCTTGAACTCAAAGCAGTCCTCTTGCCTCAGCCTCCTGAATTGAATACAGCATGTTCCACCATTCCTGGCACTATATAGTGCATGTGTATGCGAGGCAAGTGCTCTACCTCTGTGCTTTGTCCCTGACCTATAAATTGCTTTCTAAAAACTGTAGCAATTGCAAATTTAAAGCAGGATGATTTCAAACTATTGTTTTAAACTTGGATAGTTTATTAAATATAAACATCATCTAAAATTCCATAATGCTGAGGTCACTGAAACCATTCTTCAATGTCTAACAAATGTTTGGCCCTGGAAAGCGTTCTGAGGAATGTATGCTTATACTGGAATATAAACACATGGTACAGATCTAAAAGCTTTCACAGACCAGCTTCTGAAAAGTTGAAACTTACCAGGGAAAGGTATTAAAGTAGCTGGGTTTTTAAATATTTATGTTTTATATACATGTATGTGCATGAAGTGCATGCATTGCCTACAAGTACAGCCAGAAGAGGGCATTGGATTCCGAGGGCGGTTTTCAGAGAAAATGAAGAATCATTCAGTTTTGTCAAATAAAGAGATGGAGAGTCTAATTGTGGAAACATTTAAGGAGCTGTGACATAGTAGGGCAATGTTAGGGTTTTGTAAAAACTGGATCCAACAGGCCTTCCCCAAGGAAGGTATGAAGGCATTGCTGGAGTAAGTGTGCCCTCCAAGGCGACTTGGTTTCAGAACTAACCCGTGAGGAAGTTTACATTCCTTTGCCAGTCTCCTAATACTTGTGCCTAGGCAGTAAGCGAATGGCAGATCTGAAGAGCCTGTCTGTGACACCAGTGGGAGCAGGTGGGAACCTGAGCTAGTGGGCCGGTAATTACCTGTCTCTAGAGGCTGGACAGAATGGCTGAAAACTTCAGGGACATCTTCTGTCTTCCTATGGGCTCAGTACATTTGTAGAGGGAGCTTATAGCTAAGTTGCTTAGAAACATAATAATATATGTACATATGATTTAATGTAGGCATTATATATTTTATATAATTGTAAATTTTAAAATCTTGAAAATAAAAAGGGAGTAAGTATGCATGCACCCAGGTAGTGGCTTATCCCTGTAAATGGGCTTCACAGCCCAGGGCCCAAGGACTTGCCACCCATGACCTTGACCTTGTGCCTAAGCCAAGGGAGGAGAGGCACTGCTCAGGTGTCAACAGCACAGCAGCTTCCTAGAATCTCATGACCAGGACCTGCCACCTAGGCGCCTCATCTAGCTACAACTCCTGCGGAAGTACCCAGGGGAAACCACGCCCTTGCACTGGGGTCCCCCTCAGGCTGACCCTGGCCACAGGTGTGCCAGCTTCTTTCCATCCTCTCATCCAAGGCCACAGTGTTGGAGTTTCCTGAGGACTCAGCAGAATGCCCCCAGGCCTCCAGAAGCCTGCTCTCCCATGGCCTCACTCCTGAACTGTGAAGCAGCAGCCAGTCATCCATTCTGGCCAGGCCAACACCAGGATGCTGTCCTGAGCTGGCAGCACCACCAGCTAGCCCAAGGCTTCAGTGATGCTAGGCCAGAGCTCCACCCACCCACACTAGTAAACTACTGGAAAGCTGCTGCAAGCAACAGGCACCAGCAGGGGCTGGACTGTGCTCCCTCTTCTCTCACTCCACTGACCTTCCCTGACCCCTTGAACTTGCCTTGCACCAAGCAATGAATAAATTCCCAGTAGCATCCTTACAAAACAAAACAACCTTGAATATATACATGAGATCAAACCTGTTCATTGCCATGCCAAGCAAGGAAGTCCTCATTTGTTAACTTTCTTACGTGGAAGTCTTGATGAACTGGGGCTGGGGAAATGGCTCAGTGGTTAAGCGTACTTGTTCTTATAGATGACCCAGGTTTGATTCTAGTGCCTGCATGGCAGCTCACAACTGTCTGTAACTCCAGCCCCAAAGGATCCAATACTCTCTTCTGATCTCAGCAGACAACAGACACACACTGTCCTACACAAACTCTGTAGGCAAAACACCCATACACAGAAAATAAGATCTTTTTTAAAAATCATGATAAACTTTTACTTTTTAATTAATTAATTAATTTATTTATTTATTTGGTTTTTCGAGACAGGGTTTCTCTGTGTAGCCCTGGCTGTCCTGGAACTCACTCTGTAGACCAGGCTGGCCTCGAACTCAGAAATCAGCCTGCCTCTGCCTCCCAAGTGATGGGATTAAAGGTGTGTGCCATCACTGCCTGGCAATTAAATTTTTTGTTTTGTTATATTCTGTGTATAAGTGCATGTATGTCTGTACACCACATGCATACTTAGTGACAGAGGAGGCCAGCAGAGGGCATCAGATCCCCTGGAATTGCCATTACAGATGTTTGTAAGCAACCAGCTGGATGCTGAAGGTCAAATCTAGATCCCCACAAGAGCAACACTCTTAACCTTCGAACCATCTCTCCAGCCCAGGATTTTGAATGATTTTACTTAATTTTAATATAGTTTTTGCAAGGCGTAAACATTATTTATAGTGGCTACCAAGATGGCTCAGTGGTTAAGAGCAGGTACTGCTCTGGCACAGGAAATGAGTTCAGATGCCAGCATTTGCTTCAGAAAGTTCCTAGCAGCCCGTGACTCACCCTGTAGGGGATCCAGCACCTTCCTCTAGTCTCCATAGGTAATTGCTCTCACACCCACAAACCTATACACACACACAATTTAAGACATATTATTTTTTTAAATATCCATATTCATATGGGTTATAGAGTTTACTGTTAAACTATTTAAACTTTATTATTATTGAAGAATTTGTAAAAGCTTGTCTACCTAATCTCAAATTCATGGTATTAAAATTGTGGAAAAAATGAGGACTCAGAAGGATGATGAGACAGGATTATGCTTTCTTCCTTGTTTATAAACATCCTCTTTGCCAATAGGCAACCATAGTTGTTTTCCATAAAGAAGACTAAAAGGAAAACGTTGTTTCCTCTCTCTTGCTGAAGGTGGTTGGAGGCAAAGTGAAGAAGCCTGGAAAACGAGGACGGAAGCCAGCCAAAATTGACTTGAAAGCAAAACTCGAGCGAAGCCGGCAGAGTGCGAGAGAATGCCGGGCCAGGAAGAAGCTGAGGTACCAGTACTTGGAGGAGTTGGTATCCAGTCGGGAAAGAGCTATCTGTGCACTCCGAGAGGAACTGGAAATGGTAAAGTCTTTCAGCAACAGGGAAAACGTCCATCCTAACATGGCAGACCATGAGGGTACAGCAAAACAGGAGCTACCCCAGTCCTTAGCCACCCAATTGGCACACATTGAAAAGGATGTGAATCTTTTTTACCACATTGTAGGCTTGTTGTTTGTTTTTGTTTTTTGAGTCAGGGCTTCTCTCTATATCCTTGGCTGTCCTAGAATTCACTCTGTAGACCAGGCTGGCCTCAAACTCACAGAGGTCCTCCTGCCTCTGCCTTCTGAGTGCTGGGATTAAAGGTGTGCAACACCACCACCAGATGAGTCTAAATACACATTTTAATACAGTGCTGGTGGCAACATTACAGATTTTTATGATAGAAAAAATGGCAACTGGAGAGATGACTCAGTGGTTAAGAGCGTTGGCTGCTCTTTCAGAGGTTCTGAGTACAATTCCCAGCAACCATATGTTGTCGGCTTGTGACCATCCATGATGGGATCTCGTGCCGCCTTCTGGTGTGCAGGTATACATGTAAGCAAAGTACTCATAAACAAACCTTTAAAAAGCTGTAGTTTTCCCAAAATTGAACAAATAAACAAAAAAAAACCCAAGAATTCCATTTTTAAAAAGAAAAGGATAAAGGTGTACAGAGGGCCAACAGGATGGCCCCACAGATCAAGGTGCCTGCCAGCAGGGTTGATGACCGTCTTTCTATCCCCTAACCCACCCATGGCTGGAGAGAACCAGTGCTTGCAGGTTTTCCTCCGACCCCCACACGCATGCCCACGACACTGTAGGAAGTGTAATGAGAAATTACAGAGGATGGGGAGATAGCTTCTCTAGCGTGCACGAGGTCCCGAGTTCGATGTCAGCACTGCATGAACAGGTGATGACACATCCTGTGGCCAGCACTCAGGAGATGGAAGCAGGAAGAGGAGAAGTTGTTCAGGGTCATTTCAGCTGCACTGTAAGTTGGAGGCCAGTCTAAGATACACGAGACCCTGTCTCACCCACCCCCAAATACATGAGGAGGTGCAATAGCAGGTTTAGATCCGAGTCACGCTGTGTTCATAGGAGACTACGTGTGACACGCCAGGGGAGTCACAGTGCAGCCAAGTTTGGAGAAGCACTTAGAAGGCTGAGCAAGATCACTAGTACCTGGGTTATCTAGGGCCTGTCCCCCCAAAGTCACAGTGCACATCCCTATGTACTGATCCAGAAGGATGTATTGCTCTGTGGAGAAAGCTGCACAGCAGTCACATTCTGACTGGGAGACTGCCGTCTGCTTTTCCATGAGTTCACTCTGCATGCTTCATTCAGAGTTCACAGGGATTGTAGAAATAAGCCTTTCCACTGCACTCAGGGATGAGGGGACAGGTAGGGAAAGAGGTAGTACCATGACTGTTGCAAAACTGGTTCTTCAGAAAGTAATAACGCTGGCCATGGTGGTGCATGCCCTACTCTTGTGGGATAGAGGCAAGAGGATCAGGAGTTCAAGGCCATCCTCTGGACTCTGAGACTGTGTCTAAAAATAAAACAAAAACCCTGCAGGGCTGAGGAGATGACTCAATGAGCCAAGTACCTTGAGGTCAGTTCAGACCTCAGGACCCACATAGCTCGATGTATAGTAGTGCCATCTGTAATCCCAGTGTTCCTCGGCAAGATAGAGGGCAGTAACCGCAGTCTTCAGAAGCTCATGGGCCAGCTGGCCTGACATATGCAGCATCTAAGCAAGTGCTATAGCAGTGAGCTACAGGCAAGCCCACAGGAGAGCTCTTGTGTCTAGGATTTCCACATGTGCTGCCTGAATTCTGACTTAGCGTTTTACTTAAGTGTATTAAATATTTCAGTACAAGCAATGGTGCATGGCAATGGACCAAGGGAAAATCCCTTCTGAAATAAGGGCCCTACTCACTGGCGAGGAGCAGAACAAGTCTCAGCAGAACTCAAGCAGGCATCCCAAAGCTGGGAAGACAGACGCTAACACCACTTCGTGTGAGTACTGTCTATGGCAGCTTTCCTGCTAAGCAAGCATCCCAAGGTAGAATGTTTGTTGACCACTAAGCAGTGTGGCTTGAAATAAGTAACGTACTAATGTCATTTGTAAAATGCTAATCAGCAAATGTTTTGTCAGAGGATCCTAAATCCTGAAATGAAAGCCAGCTGATAGCTGGGTGAGGTGGCGTACACCTGCTTTGCCATCACTAGGGAAATACCAAGTTGGAGACCAGCCTGGGCTTCATAGAAAGATACCGTGTCAAAGAGAATAATCTAGGCAGCTGATGAATGCTATGGTAGTCTGTCCATTTGAAGTGATCCTCAGTGTTAAAGCTACTGTCTTTTGCTTGCTTTTACTTACAGTTTACAAGGTAATTTAACATTTAGCTTATATGTTTATTCCAGTATTAATGCTAAAGAACCATATTTTTATTGGCTATAGCTTACCAATAGGCTGTGTGTTAAAGGTTAGTATACTCTAGGTCAGTGGTTCACAAACTTCCTAATACTGTGACTCTATAATACAGTTCCTCAGGTGGTAGTGACCCCCTAGCCATAAAATTATTTCTGTTGCTACTTTATAACTGTAACTTTGCTACTGTTAGGAATCATAAACTGGGCGGTGGTGGCGCACACCTCTAATCCCAGCACTTGGGAGGCAGAGGCAGGTGGATCTCTGAGTTCGAGGCCAGCCTGGTCTACATAAGACCAGGACAGCCAGGGCTACACAGAGAAACCCTGTCAACAAAACACAAAAACAGAAACCAAACCAAACCAAAAGATCAATCATAATGTAAATATCTTTGGAGATTGATTGTCGTCAAAGGGTCGAGACCCATCTGTTGAGAACCACTGCTCTAGGCCTTGCATTCAATCCCAAGATAAAAACCAAAATAGGGAAAAGAGAGGAAAGAGAGCAGAACGGCTGGGTGAGTTCCTAGTGGCTCACAATGTAATTCCAGAGGCTAGTCTCACAAGTCTAGACTTTTACTACAGTAAGTTGTAACTGAAGATGTTTTTCTTCTTTTGCAGTGGTGGGGAATTGAACCTGTGGCTTCAGATATGATGGGTAAGTTCTCTATATCCCCAGTCCAGAGTTGTTTTTATTTTTGTTGAGGTAAAACTCATGTAACATGAAATGAAAAACTTCAAAAAAAATCAACCATTTTAAAATAACAGTGCAGAGCCATTTGGTATACTCGCAGTGTCACACAGCTGTCATCTCTAACTAGGAATATATGATCACCCTAAGAGAGACCCCTGGACCATTCGACACTCCGTCCTCTGACCTTCCCCAGCAGCCCTTTGCAACCGTTGACCTGAGACCCCAGTGAGCTGATCCATTGTAGATTTATTACCTTGTGCATCTGACTCCTTTAACCTCCTCACAGTCTACCTGTATCCCAGTGTCATTCCTTCTTATGGTCCATTATTTTATAGATGCACATACCACAGTTGTTTATCCACCGTCCACTGAGAGCCCTCTGTTTCCACCTGATGGCGTTTGGGCATTTGTCAACATTGATGCCGTGAGCGTGTGTATACACGCGTTTGTGTCTGGGCTTGACATTTTGGGGGTCGGGTGTGATTGAGTTCACTGTATAGCTGATGATAGCCTGAACCCTGATCCTCCTGCCTTCAGCTCCCAGGTGCTGGGACTGCCACTCCAGGTGCGTGCCAGCACAGTCGCTCTGCTCTGCTCTGTTGTGTCTGTACCTGGAGACAAACTGTTGGGCCATGTGGATTCTGTTTAACATTTAAAGAACTGTTAAACTGTTTCCTATGGCCGTCAAAATGTGTTACATTTTTACTAACAGTGGTTTTATTTACATCTCATCAATACTGGTTATTTACTGAATTTTATTTTGTGAGCGATGAGGTCTCACTCTGTTGTCTGGGACTGACTGAATTCCAGGGCTCAAGTGATACTTCCCTGCCTCGGCCTCTCTGGTAGCAAGGATTACAGGCATATGCCACTGTGGTAGCCCTATTTTGGGTTTTGTTTTATTTTTTAAATTTTACTTATTTATTGGTTTTTGAAACAGGGTCTCTCTATGTAGCCATGGCTGTCCTGGAACTTGCTCAGTAGACCAGGCTGGCCTTCAACTCAAATCCTTCTACCTCTGCCTCCTGAGTGCTGTAATTACTTGTTTGTTTGTTTGTTTGTTTGTTTGTTTTAAAGATAAGTCTTGCTATATGGCCCCAGTGGTCTAGAATTCAGATTTCCCATGCTGACCTTGAACTTCCTGCACTCCCTCTACCTCTGCCTCCCCTCCCAGGTAACAAAGTTATAGGTCTGCGCCACCTGCCCAGTATCCATGCCCTCCTAGTGAGCACGAAGTAATATTTCCTCATGTTTTTATTATTACTGTTTGCACATGATAGAGTGTACATGTGCACAGAGGTGTGTGGAGGTCAGAGGGCAACTTTGTGGAGTCTGTTCTCTCCTATGATCATGTCAGTTCTAGGGATGAACCTCGGGTCACCAGGACTGTATGGAAAGCACTTGAACCAAGCTATCTCACCGTCTCTGCAGTGTGCATTTCCTTAGAGCATTGGTTCTGAATCGTTTTGTTCCTTAGGCATATTGGCCATTTGTATACTTTTTTTTTCTTTTTTGAGACATGTTTGAGTTTGCCAGTGTTTCACTTAGGGTTTTATTCTGTTGCTGAGGCTTCTTTGTGTTATCTTGTGTTTTTTGTATCAGGGTCTTACTATCTAGCCCAAGCTGGAATTCAGCCATCCTTTTTCTCTGCCTCCTGTGAGCTAGGATACAGATGTCCACAGGCTGCCCTTGCTCTGGCACCAGCTGTTCCGAGCCATGCTTTGCAGGCTTCTTTCCTTCTCTAGCAGCAGTTTTGAACTTTGTTGATAGTGTCCTTGGAGATACAAAGATTTAACTTTTTTGAAATCTAGTTAGCTTCTTTTATCTTCTGTCACTCATCTTTTGGCATCATATTAAAAGATCATGTTCTCAGCTCTAGGCGTGTGAAAGTTTACCTGTTTCACTTAAGAATACTTACCGTGGAGCCTTTTGCGGGCGGGTGGCCCACAGTGAGCTCAGCTTCCTCTATGATATGATACCGAGGTTAGTGTCTTACACACATTGGCTGACTGAAGATACTGAAGAGTTTAGAATGCTCAGGGTCAAGTGTGTAATCTGTCACCCAGGAGCTTGAGGATGAAAATGTCAGGCACTTTCTTCTTTGTTCTTATCGTCTAGGAAGGCTTGCAGTAGTTGTAAGTAAAGTAAATGTGCCCACACTGGGTACCGACTGAGGTAGAGGCAAGAGGGTCAGAAGTTCAAGATCATCCTTAACTAATTACTGAGTTTGAGGCCAGCCTGGGCTACATGAGACCCTATCGCTTAAAAAAGTTATGAAATTAAGGGAACTGGGTTTTTAATAACTTAGTAGATAACATTGGACCTTAATCTAAATTAAACTTGTGAAAATTACCAAATTCACTCATTTTCTATAATTTATTGCTTTTTTGTTTATTTGTTTGTTTGTTTTTTCGAGACAGGGTTTCTCTGTGTAGCTCTGGCTGTCCTGGAACTCACTCTGTAGACTAGGCTGGCCTCGAACTCAGAAATCCACCTGCCTCTGCCTCCCAAGTGCTGGGATTAAAGGCGTGTGCCACCCAGCTATTTATCTATCGCTTTTAAAAGTCTCACTAGCTGAGAATGGTGACTCACACCTCCCCTCTGAGTACTAAGGAGGCTGGAACAAAACGTTTGCCAAGATTTCGAGGTCAGCCTGGGCTACATCTTAGTTTCTTTTCCTGTTGCTGTGATAAAATACCCTGACAGAAGCAACTGGAAAAGAGTTTATTTTAGCTTGCAGTTTGAAGAACTTATGATGAGAAAGTCACAGAGTCAGGAGCCCGAGGCAGCTGATCACGTCACATCCCCAGGAAGAAGCAAAGTGAGGACTGGACAAAATTGCTGCTCAATTCCCTTTGTCCAGTCCCTTGCCTCAGAAATGGTGCCACCCAGAGTGGATCTTCACACATCAGTTAGTGGAACAAAGTATCCCCCACAAGGCCTTCTCCTGGGTGATTTTTGATTCTGTCAGTAGAACCATCATAGCTGCCCAGTTCCAGGCCATCCTCTGACAGAGTCAGATCAAACAGTTACGACAACACACGGCCTTCCTGTGTATATTAGCCTGAAGAAAAAAGTCATGAGTTGTAGCTAGGTATGGTGGTGCACACTGTAATTGCAGTACCTCACAAGAGAGGTTCAAGGTCCTCCTCTGCTACAAGGAGTGTTTGAGAAACTGTACAGCAACCCTGTCTCAGAAAACTAGAAACCATTTACAATGGGCTAACAAGATAGTTTAGTGAGGAAAATGCTTTCTAGAAAAGCATGAGGACCAGAATCAGAAAGCCAGGCACAGGAGTATGCTCTGTGCTACCCAGCACGTCTATGGCCAGATGGGAAGCGGAGACAGGAAAATCTCTGGAAGCTCATAGGCTGGCAGCCGTGGTATACATGATCAAAAAGCAACCAAGAGACCTTATCTCAAACATGGTGGAAGGTAAACACTGGATTTAAGGTTGTCTTCTGACCTCCACATGTGTGCCACCACACACACACACAGTTGAAAGATAGATATGAATGAACAAACATACACAAATTCATGAATTTTAGAGTTGATTAAGCAAACTTCATTGACCAAAACCATTCTTATGTTGTTGCGTTTGCTTTCTGTCCAGGGTGAAGATCATATGAAATGCAGTCAGTGGTCAGAGCCAGCGGCCTAGTGTCTATGGAGGATGAATGGGCAGGACTTTGCTTCTCGGCTCCATTTTCCGCTTACTGCTCAGTAAGCATCTCTGTAAACCCAAAGTTTCTACCAAAATGTGTGATGCTGCGTCCCGAAGGTCCTTGTGCAACACTTGGGTTTCTTCAGACCTGCTCTGTTGCTCTCCACGGTGATTAACAAGTTGTGATGCCCAAGACCGTGGGAGTGGAGGAAGTGGATGGAAGCGCACGTTTGCACCTTAGCCCTATGGCTTTCATGGTTAATTTCTCTTTGTCCTATGTAATTGATGGATTTGTGTGTGTGTGTTTAGTTGTTACTTGTTTTCATGTTTTTAATCACCCTACAAAAAGACACCAAATAGGGTGTTTGTCTCCTGTGATTCTCTGCCTTTATGGACCTAATATTACTCCTTTATATTTACTTGAGTAATGTTTGATTGTCTGTGAGCCATTCCAGCATAAGCTGTGAGTATGTATTAACAGATATATACACTTCTATTTTTATAACCCATAGTGATATGCCTGTTTTAAAGAATGTACATAACAAAACCCAACACAAAGCCCCTGACAGCCTTTTTTTGCTGTTCCCTCTGACTGCATTTATGAAAGCTGGCTAGGGCCAAATCCATGCGTGGAGAATAATTAGCCACAGTTTATGTTTAAGTGAGAAGTAACCTTTTGGTGGCATCCATTACTTTAACCTGCAGTATGTGTGTGACATGGTTCTGCTGAATGTCCACATGCACACACATTTGCTTGTGCACTCAGCTGAGGCATGGCACTTTTCTGAAGAGTACAGAATGAACGTAGCTGCTGAGACTGAGTATCTGCCTTCCTGTGTAAGCACAGGCCACTCTGCTGGTGACACTATTGCTGTTGCTGTTGGCAGAATACTCAGTTCTTTCCTGACACGAGTGTCCTTATGAATGTGTTCTGAGCCAGAGAGAAGCCCACTGTGTGCTTGCACCTGCTTTAGCCTGTGCCCACTGTGGATGGCCATCCTGAGCTGCGCCCGGCACTGCAGCCTGGTCCTGGCGGGTATGTGGAAGGCATGTGGCTCTGTATGGCTCCCTTACAGCTGCGTGCACATGGCATGGAACAGTGCTTGAGGGGCAGAGCTCATAGTAGGAGCGCTTCAGAGACAAGGAATGTCTACTTCACTCGCTTCTCTCTCTAGTTCTGTCAGATGTGTTCTCTGTTGCTGCTAATTACAATTGTTCCTCTGATGAAGCAGGAATTTGACTTCCAGAAAAAGAAGTATTTGCTACAGACTGGCAGTTGAAGAGGAGGTGTCATAGTCAACAGGCATGTCCAACCTTTTGACGTTGTGACTTGAAGCCTGAGAATTGAATGTTGTAAGTGAGTTTACAGTTTTGTGCTAGGCCACATTCCTAGCTCTTCTGAGGCATGTGCAGCCTATAAGCTGTGGTTTAGACATGCCTGGAAGGTTGTCTGTGAGGTGGAACATGAGATGGACTGTGTAGCTTGTGATCTCTTGACAGGCATTTGAACAGATGCCCCTCATTAGCTGAAGATCCCTTGAGCACAGGCTTCTAACTCAGATCTCCATGGTAGGTGTGTGTGACCACCGACAGAGCCCTTGCCCAGCTTGTTAGGGCTCTCTGTGTTTTAGAAAAATGGGCATTAAGGGTATTTAATGTCTTCTTAGGACTGTAAATGGAGACAAAGGATTGTGGTATTCAGGCCCTTCAGAACTCAAGTGTTTTAAATGTAGTGTTCCGACTGTAATGGGTGTGCTTCTTTCAGCTGGTCTACTCAGTCATAAACTTTTACTCTGTAGAACATCCCATGACTTTATGTTGCTTTGTTTGTTACCTTCTGAATTCTCCAGGGGGAAAAAATTGTTTTCAAAGCAAACATTCCAGGATGAATGTGGCTCCTCGGTGGAATGTCTGCACTGTGCTTGAAGATTCTGCAGGTTGTACTTGTAGTTGCAGGGTCCTCCCCAGGTTGTAATTGTAACTGCAGGGTCCTCCCCAGGTTGTACTTGTAACTGCAGGGTCCTCCCCAGGTTGTGCTTGTAACTGCAGGGTCCTCCCCACATTGTAATTGTAACTGCAGGGTCCTCCCCAGGTTGTAATTGTAACTGCAGGGTCCTCCCCAGGTTGTAATTGTAACTGCAGGGTCCTCCCCAGGTTGTGCTTGTAACTGCAGGGTCCTCCCCAAGCAGAAGAGATGGACTTTGGAGTGAATGTTGATTATAATTTGAGTTTACTCTCAAGGTCTGTATCTCTTTAGTGTTTTGGAAGTATCAAACCAAGATAATGGCCCTCAGCATCTGATGGGGACATGCCGATTGCTCTGGGTACTATGCTGGCCCTTCTCCCTAATCTGTGATCTAATCGATGTTCTGATTCCAACCACTGCAGCGTCTCCTTCTCCACTCCCATCCACTTAGGCACTGCAGGCTAACTGCAGTTCCTTCCCAGAGGAGAGCAAGCTGAGAGGACAGAGCCCAAGGCCAGCATCTAGGGCAGGAAGAGGCCAAGTGCCTTGTCAACAGAGCCTGGCTCCTTCTTCCTTTTATTTCAGAGATTAAGGAGAAAAGATATGTGCACATTCACACCAATCCAACTCTGCCTTGAGCATCCACTGCCCACATACTGGAGCAACTGGTGCAATATGGAGTTGATCTGGTCAGGTCAGCTTTTAGTCTGTAGGTGAAGTTCTAAACTTGTTTTCTGTCCTTATCTAAACTATTCCTGTGATGGCCAAGTCAGAACGTTAGTGCAGCAGTCCCTGCCACTGCCTGCCTGTGGACAGCGCCGAGCGTCACATCTGTAACTTTGTCATCTTTGACCTGCAGTGGGTCTGCTTTGATAGAAAACAGATTTAAGCTGGGCTTCACTTTTAGTTAAAGGCAAATAAAATCAACAAAAATAAATACTATATTTCACAGAAATCAGCTACATGTTGTTACAAATATTAAAATACATATTTTGTTTTTTAAAAGACGAGAGATGATTAAACCACATGGTATTTGGGGGCAAATGAAGGACTTTTTTTCCTCAGAAGAGCATTGTACAATTATATTTTTATGAAAAATAAAGTATCTTCACCAAAATCTTGTCAAATTGCCTGTTTCACAATACTGAAATAACTCTGTATACACCTACATCTGCTAAGGCTGAGTTCAGTCCCTACATGGTAGGAGGGAAAAGACTGGCTTTGGTGGCTGTCCTTTGCTGCCATGCTCAAGTGTGCTGAAGACTGTTTACTGCCCTTGCAGAAGACCCAGGTTCAGTTCCCAGCCCCCAAGTAACTACAGCTCCAGAAGATCCCATGAGCACCTGCACATAGGTGGTACACACACATTCACTAAGGCAAGCACACACACACACACACACACACACACACACACAATTCTCTCTTATTTAAAGGTATTAGGCAAGTCCTTGGTCCATTTTCTGAGTCAGAGGGGTATGAAAAGCTGTTTGTTAAATAGCATAAGATTGGCCTGGCAAGATGGCTCGGCAGGTGAAGGCACTTGCCACCACACTTGACAGCCTGAGTTGTTGATCCCTAGAACCCACTCATACAGTGGGAGGGAGGGCCCTGTCTCCCGAGCTGTCTTTTGACCACACACCCATAGACAAACTAAATAAATCTGAAAAAAATAAAAATATTCACAGTATGTAAGGCTTTAAGTTATCAAAAATAGACGTGGTTAATGAGCGCATATCAAAAGGCAGGGTCAGGACACTCCGAGGCTGCTGTCTATACATTGCTATACTTACCCTTTGAATTGGTATGATGGGAGGCTTTGGGCAATAATGGCCTTCAATGAATTAGGCTCATTTTAAGAACCACTTATTTACTATCCATTTTACTCAATTACAAGTGGTCATTAACCTGAGTCTGGACTGTCGTGTAACGTTATGCTGATTGTGCACTGCACAAAGACACACAGATGAAGCCCTTATGGAAGAAAAGCACCCGTCATATGCTCAGGAACCACGCCTGTTGCCTAGGTCTGCCCAGAAGGTACTCAACCAGCACACCTTTTTAAATTCCTCAACTCCCTAGGGGTGCCCTTTTGAAAAGTATGCAAGATAATGGCATTTTACAGCTGGCTTTAAGCCAGTGGAGTGTGTCTCTTCTACTCCCTGCTCAGTGACATCAGTTTGGTGGTTATTCAGCAATGGTAGAGGTATGTGTACTCTATGGATATCAGTGAATGCTGCAGACCATGGACAGTCAGTCTCTGATGCGCCACTGAAAATGGCCAAAATGAGGGTCAGCACAGCTCAGAACAGAACATCTGAGACACAGAATACAGGGCAGAGATCTGGCTGGAGGAACTCAGGGCCTGTAAATACCACGGAGCTGTCCAGAAAGATTATGTCACCGGACAGATTGTAGCTATGATTCAGAAACTGTTGCATCTCCATCCCACTCTAGGGACCATAAGGCAGAAGATCAGTTGTGTTTCTTTTTCTTTTCTACCTGTATTTAAACAGGGTCTCACTCTGCAGCCTTGGCTGGCATAGAACTTGATATGTAAACCAGGCTGTGCTTGAACTTACTGAGATTGACATGCCTTGTCTCTTGAGTGCTGGGATTAAAGGGCTGGGCTACTACACCCAACCTTCAGTTGAATTCTTAATCCTGGGGTCACCACAAACTCAACTAATCCACTACTGTGCTTATTGCGCGGTCCCAGACACTGCAGGGCTAGGCTGGGGTGGGTGGGAGTTAGGCAGTGAGCTGTGCCTGACAGACCATTCTGTTGGGTAGAGAGCTGAACAGGGAAAGCCTAGTCCAGTCTTGTGCCCCCTCAGCCATCCCTTCCTGGCAAGCACTTTTAAGACTGATGACTGTGAACTGAGTCTGAAGGCCAGGACAGCTCAGAGTCAAACAGCACAGACCACCCAAATCCACACCCAGAGCACCCCTGCTGGCGCTACAGGTGAGAATACAAGACTTATGGCAACAAACAGGAATGACCCCCATTAAACTTGTCCAGTCCCTTTAGCTGCAGGTAGAAGGTTCATTCTCAGCAACATGACAAGTTTGGGGCCAAACGGCTGTATGAGATGCCAACTCAAAAACCAAAAAAGATAAATACATAGTGAGTTTTGGGCCAGACAGGACTATAGAGAGAGATCTTATCTTAAAATAACAAAACAAAAACAAAACACTGCCAGAAAACTGCTGTTCAAGCTGGAGCAGCCAAGCCCAACAGCCACACGGAAAGAGAAAAGAACATCAGAAAGACACACCAAACACCCCTCCACTTCACTCCTCCACTAGAAGGCAGGCCTCTTCTGTGAGGGCTGAGAGGAGATGCAAGCTGGGAATGGCCCAGATCTTGTTAGGGTAACTCATTTACTAGTCCAGGCCAAAAAGGAAAACCCATGAGAACATGAGCTTTTTCCACCAGAGAGACCAGGAACTCTGCCTAACATGGGAAAAATAAAAAGTCTCTGAGAACTCTGAAGCCTCCTCCCGGAGTGGGACATCATGAAAGGGTCTTGAGGACAAATGAGAATCAGCTAATTTGAGAGAGACAATTCTCCGGGCGGTGGTGGCACACGCCTTTAATCCCAGCACTTGGGAGGCAGAAGCAGGCAGATTTCTGAGTTCGAGGCCAGCCTGGTCTACAGAGTGAGTTCCAGGACAGCCCGGGCTATAAAGAAAAACCCTGTCTTGAAAAAACAACAACAACAACAACAACAAAAAACAAAAAAAAAAGAGAAAGACAATTCAAAAGGCTGGGCATTCAACTCAATGGTTAGAGTGCTTGTCTGGCAGATAATCCCCAATGCTACACAAACAGGGTGTGAACACCTGCAATCACAGCACTCAGGAGGTGGAGTATCAGAGGTTCAAAGTTACCCTGAGCAGGGTTCCAGGGACTGTGATAGACTCTCAAAAGGAGGGAGAGAGGTGAAAGGGAGAGAGGGTGAACCCAACAAATGAGTCACCAGACAAGAATTCATTAAACAGGGGCCGGGTAGCCAGGCAGACTTGAGGCGTGGTGTAAGGAAGGTTGTCATCAGGTCTTTGTCAGTCCTCTGCACCTTCTTTGGTTTCCGGCCGGCCCTCAGGTTCCAGGGATCCTCCTGTGGCCACCTCCCCAGTGCTGGGTTTAGAGGTGGGAACCATAGCCAGGTTGCCATGACTACAGAAAAGAACAATATCCACCTTACTGCAATGTCACTGAAACTTTTCCCTAAAGGAGCTGTAGTCTTCTGTATCTAAGCTTTGGCGAGTAAACAGCTGGAAGGCCGTAGTAACTGTTGGATGCTCCAAACCAGATGACGCCCTCAGACCTCCAGATCTGCCTCCTCAGCCTGACACAAGACACGCATTTGGTCACCCCGCAGAACTAAGATCCCATGTCCTTCAAGTCCGAAGTCAATCCAAACTCTGTAAACTCTGCTGTGTAACTCAGAACTGATGGAGAGTCGCTAATGCAATACCTTTGTTCTGACGTGGTCTGCTTTGGTTTTTGTTTTCTCACACACTCCTGTAGCCAATCCTGGCCTTGAATTCCTAACTCTCTTGCCTCTACCTCCCACATGCTGGGGTTACAGGCATGGGACACTGTGATGGTTGGTGTGGTCAATTTGGCAGAATCTAAGATTGCCTGCGAGATGGGCCTCCAAGTGGATCTATGTAGGGGTATCATGATCTGGATTGCTTTATTTAAAGTGGGAAAGCCTGCCCACTATGGGTGGTACAATTCCTCCTACAGAAGATCCTGGACTGAATGAAAACACAAAGTAAAGTGATCTAAGCAAGGGCCTCTCTCTCTCTCTCTCTCTCTCTCTCTCTCTCTCTCTCTC